TGCAAAAACACATAAAAACCACGCATTAAGTACTGCACGTAACTTTGTTCTAAAACTGTTACATTCTGCTGTGGCACCGAGTTATATCAGGGCCTTCGGTTCCAATGCGCAACCAAATTCTCGATCCAAACCCGTGAAAACAAGGACTGCTTGAGAAGCACACCGACGGCCGTCAAAGAAATCTGAAGAAACAGACCGACGATTGTCAACAGCTGGCCATGGTTCGTTCTGATAAAAAAGAGTTGTCAGCCATTCAAAATATATACAATTTCGATTTAGAAGCGACTTTCGAAAGAGAGAACCATCGATAGCAACAAGTGCGATATCCTTGCCATCAGACCATGATTATGCTGGGTGCAACCGGACTACTGTAACCCGGACGTAATACGAAACAAACCTGCGCAATAAGCAAAGTTCAGAAGCAAAACAACGATAGTGGCTGAGTGAAGCTTCAACGTGCCCATTCCGACAACACCGCTTATGAAGCACTCGCCTACTTTATGAGCTTTTGTTAACAGGCACTGCAGATATTGCGCCCTAATTCAGCGCCCCAGGAGCCGACTTGTCAACGTCCCTGTTCCATTACTCACGTTTGTTTGAACAGCTTTTCCTGGTAATCAAAAAAGTACAGGAGCTATACTAAAAACTCATCGCATGTGCACCAACACACAGTTGTTCGCAGATTCTTTAATAGAATACTGATGGTACAAAAACATATTAGCATTCACCCCAGTCATTTCCCACTGCCCACTTCGGGGCGACACTGCACGATGGATAACAGAAAGCAAAGGAACCCAAATTGTAAAGTACGAACTGGACCCTTGCACCAGGGGTCGTTAGAAACCGAATTTTTAAAGCCATGCAATTTGCTATCCCCGCAGTTTTTGTCGCTACCGGTACCGGTTTTCCTGACAAATGCTTCTAGTTAAATTAAGACTGGCCACCAGAACTGTCAGGAAACGCCCGCTAAATTTCAGCTTTCTCGTTTTCCTGGCTCCTGAGTTAGCAACTTACTCGAAGAAAACTTTCACGGGCTGGTACATGGGTACAACTCATACTTAGTGTCTGGGTTTGAGCTCACTAACACATACTTGGTTTGGGAACATCCCCTTAAAATCTCACCCCTCTTGTTTCCCAGACTCCCGAATTAGCAGTTTACCGGAAGAAAACTTTCACGGGCCCATACGTGGGTACCACGTACACCCAATGTCTGAGTTTGAGCTATTTAATACCTACTTGAAGAGGAACATTCCTTCAGAAATGTTTCTCATCAAGTAGGTATTAAATAAAGAACTGGAATAGATAGAGGACTGGAATTAAATACAGGACTGGAAATCCTCTACCTTTTCAGGTACTCACATTAGCAACCTATCCGGAAAAACCTTTCATGAGCCCGCACGCGGGTAACACGCATACCCGAGGGCTGGTTTTGAGCTCACTAACACTGTTTGCACGGGGAACGTCCCACTACAGTTTCAGCTATCCACCTTTTCTGGTACTCGAGTTAGCAGCTTATCTGTAAAGAACTTTGGCGGGCCCGCACGTGGGTGTCACGCGGGTAAGACCGCCCATCTTGGGGGTGGGGGCCCACACATGAATTTAAATGAAGTCCCCAAAATTCCACCCCTGTAGCTTTCGTAGGTCTCGAGAAAAACTCGGTTCACACACGCACACACACACACACACACACACGCACGCGCACACACACACAACCCCTCGTCAATATGCGTTTTCTGCATTGCATAGCTGCAAAAAAACGCATAAAACGCCGAATAATTCTCATACACGGGCAAATTTCACTAACATAGAACCAACCCCTTGCTTTCTTCAGAACAATGTCTTTCGGAAAAGTTGAGAACAGTTCTATTGCTGCTGCAGCAACTGCCCGAGGTTTACCAGTCTAAGGTAGGCACATTTTTACACGGGCGCATTTTCTTCTTTCTGTTTGAATTAACCATTTAGCCAGACTTGCCAACAGGAATGAACTCGATGGTGCAATGCGCGTTCAGAATCTTACTGCTCAATTTTTCTGCAATTCGCACTATTTTATCACAGCTAGCTGCATTTCCCATCGATCCACGAGTTACCTGACCCATCGCGTTAACTGATCCTCGTCTTTCTGAAAAATGACTCCTAAAAAAGTCTAATAAGTATAAACACTACGACTACAAAAGTTGACCGGACCACACTACATGACTTCGCATGGGAAATCAAACATCCCCCGAAAAGATTTTTCGCTGTATCATTTTGT